ATCACTGGGTGCCGTGGCACCTCCACCCATAAAGCTAGATCAGCCCCTGGCTCCTACATTGTCCCATTATCTTATCGAGCTTAATGTAAAGAATTAATACAAATTATGTAATTGTTTACGTCAAAGGTACATAACTTGATTGGGTATAAAAATACATGCACCATCAAAAACATAAATTCACTTCTAATTATATATCGAGTATAATATATTGTTAACTTCTAATTGTATAACATGATATTGATACTATATATGATGTAATTGTGCGTCAAGGTATTGGTACAAAAATATATGCATCGTTAAAACATAAATTCACATACGCATATGAGCTTGATTTATTTGACCGAATGACCAGAGAATAATAAAATCGAGTATTTAAATATAGAAGTATATATTATAGGTTTATTACGTAAGGAATATGTTAATAATGTTTGAAAAAAAGGAGTAGGAGAATGATGGGTACGTACGTGTTAGTGCAACACTATCTGTACTGTCTTCAAAACTTTTACAACACATCCTTGCACTAACTTAATTAATTAATTTTTTTTTATGTACAACCTTAGCTGTTTTTCAATTCACATATATAAATAAATAGTATATATTATAACTGGAATTTTGGGTCGTACGGTTTGTAAGGCAATTAGGTAAAATATATATATGAAATATGTATATTTTGTACGTTATTGGTGGTGGGATATATATTGATCTAGTCTGGTGCACCTATATTCCATTTCCAGTTCATGCTTTTATAATTATCAATATATATAGTACACTAATAATTGGATTATATTAGTTACATTTATTTTCATATTAATTAGAGTCATATATATTAGCAACACTATTTCATGCATGCATTTTTGAGGGAGACATTTCTACAAAAAAATTTAATTTGAACTAGTTCAACTCGAGATTTCTTAACTAAGGACAAAAGGATCTCAATTACCGTATCACAATCATTCAATTATCATAAAGTTAAGTTAAATGGCAGAAATTAACATTACGTACTTTCATAGACATATTTTTGTAAATAAAAGACACTAGTCTGAATTTGCAAAAGAAAAAAGCTGTAACACTTATAAAACTACTACTGGTAAATTTGGTTGTCCAGGACATCTTTTTTTCAATATCCATATTAAAGTCTGACTAAATTCGAATTCGCATATAAGGGTATAAAATAAATATTTAAGTTGTATATATATTAATTATAGTGTAATATTTTTTTTACCCCATCAGTATAACTTAATGTGTCACAATAGATTATCTACCATTATTCTATGTTACAAATTAACGTAATAAAATAGAGGTAATTATCTACTATTTATCTTATGTAAATATATTTCACACCTGCATAAAACGTTGACCCGATATATATACACACCCAACAACAATAAGCTCTTCAATTTTCTAATAAAACCAAACTGTAAATTCCTTGAATTTGTTTGATTAAAAACAACAAAATTTATAAATTATAAAATAGATGGACGAATTAATATTATTAATGTATCTTATTAAATCAACAACATATTCTTTACACATCTAATCATGAATAAAGCAAATATATGGAGTCCATGAAACAGCTGTGAAATCAATTTCATCAACATTTACAAATTCTTTTGCCTTTTTCTTTTTTGGATTTAGATAAACTAATTAAAATTCTAATACACCTCCATTAATCATTACTATAAAGATATTTAAAAAAATTAAATTAACGAATATTTTGGCTTTAGCTCTAATTTTAAGACAAGTTAGGAGTCTCCTTAGTATGCAAACTGAAGTACATGTGCACCCCAAGAGCATCTTAAACATGCAAACAAATTAAACTAGAACATGATTATTTAATTAATTAAGGTTAATCATATTTTATTTAAGTCGTTAGTTGACGACAAAATAGCTTTAAAATTGAGCAGTCCGATGGATTAGAATACAATTAAGAAAAGTAATGACGATAAGCTTATTTAATTTCCTTAAGAGGCAACTTTATTGCATGTCGTCATCCAAATATTAAGACATAACTCATGAACATAATCTTTAACTTGGCCTTTCATAACGCTTATACCGTCAAACTTTAGGTGAATACAAAAAGATACTTTAATTTGTTTAAAGACTTAAAGTTGAACAAGTAAATACATGCGTTCTACGTGTCGATCATCTCACACGAATTTGTATATAGATTGTGTGTCTATTTGTTCAACTTTATACAAATTTAAGTGTTTATTTGTACACATTCAAAGTTGAAGGACGCAAATCAATGTCAATTCAGACCAAGTTAAAAATACATTTATGTATTATATAGAATATTAATATGTTCATTAACTACAAATCAAAGTCAATTTATGTAGTTACTTTTGAAGTCGAAAAAAAAGGATTTATAGATAGATATAATTGCTTGATTATATAACATATTTGGCTTATTTTATTTTTATATTTGGAAAAAAATCACTTAAATTGAGATTTAAGGTGTTTGACTATAAAAAAAAAGAAGTAATTTTTTAGCATTAGCTGAAATTTATTTTAGAAAAAAGTAACAACTTGGCCAAACAAATTCTTATTTCATGTTAAATTTTCTAAGAGGACAAACTATTAAATAGCCAAAATATCTTGAGACAAAAACAAAAAAAGTTCCTCTGATTTATTTGAGCAAAATTAAATAATTTCTGTCGAAGCTTAATTATCCATTTAGAACAAAATAAAAGCATGTGTTTTTCTCTGATTTATTTGAGCAAAATTAAATAATTTCTGTCGAAGCTTAATTATCCATTTAGAACAAAATAAAAGCATGTGTTTTTCTCTGATTTATTTGAGCAAAATTAAATAATTTCTGTCGAAGCTTAATTATCCATTTAGAACAAAATAAAAGCATGTGTTTTTTTCTGTAAATAAAATCTTGTAGTCAAAGATTACATATCCAACAATAATAACTTTGTGCTATATTCATTTAACATCATTAATTATAATTATTAGTAATTTATAAACACCTTTAATTAGGACAAATTAATCATAAAACATTAGTAGGACTTACTGATCTGCAAACAATGCATGCATGTTTTTCATAATATGTAGCAAAAGATTTTGCTTACCTTTTTTATTACAAAACCATGTGATTATCAGAACCTGTTTAATTACAAACAAAAAAAAACATCAAGATATATAATTTTGGATTATGATCTTATCTTGTGTCTAGTTTTTGTCTTAAAACCTTATTTAAAATCGTTAATTATTATAATTAGTAACAAGTAACAACAAACATCTGGCATTGCCCCCCCTCGTGCGGTGCTGCATACGCCAAAATTTAATGTTGTGAAAAATCGAAACACAAATCATAGAGAAAATAAACTTTAGTAGCCTTTATTTCATTTTAAAATATTTATTTACGAGATTATTGGTGTTTGAATTTTTTTTTAGAAAAAAACTACATATTTTTAAGTAATAGCACAAGTTGAGCAAAGTATAAATTTTTACTTTGATAAAAGTATTGTTTAAGTTGATGAGGCTAAACACAAACTGCTACACTCCAAAATACTTCTTGAAAAAACAATTTTCATAAGAACAACATTTCAAAATAAGCAAATTTTAAGAATTTTACCAAACACACCGACTATAAATTTTATGCACTAACATAAATAAAGAGAAAATGGCCAAAAGCCCCCCTAATCTATAGCCGGATTCCCAACTACACACTCATACTTTATGGGGGTCCTATTAACCCGTTGAACATTTTTTTTTACTAATTTTCTCATCCTTATTTGCTGACATGTCCAAGAAGGTGAGACCAACTCCCTTAGGCGTGTGAGAACAGAAAATAAAACGTTAAAAGCTAAAGAAAACTACACGTGTGAGTCCAAATCAGCTATATTAAATCTCCAAAGGTATAATCTCATCTCTCCCAAAATCAAACTTTCTTTTTCTTCCTCTTTTTCTCAATTTTTCTAATAGTTGACAAATCTCCAACAATATATTCCTTCATTCTATCCCAAATCAGCTTGAAACTTGAATTTACTTGTCCAAAGCATTCAACTGTAGTTTCAATTTCGAAAAAGCTTGAAGCATTAGGGCATGTAATTTCTCTGATTTCATAGTTAGGGTTCAAATTTTTTCTTCAAATTCATCGCTTTTTTTGCTTTGTTAGGGTCAATAATGGCAAATGCGGACTTGAATAAGCTTTGTATGGAAGAATTAGACCCAATGCTCAAAGCCGTTGTGCGGTGCAAACATGGCATTTTACTGCATATGCAAATTTTTTGGTCGAAGTCAAATCCCGGAAGGCGGTTTTGGTCCTGCCCCTACTATGGTGTATGTGATTTCTCTTCTTCTATTATTTATTTCGTTGAATTTAATTGATGTTAATCTACTAATTTGATATCTCAGTCTAAGAATTGTAAGTTTTTTCGATGAAGAGACAAAGAAGAAGTCGACCCAAGATTAAAATTTATTCTCCCAAAATTGGTGAACAAAATCAAAGTGTTGGAAGAAGAAGTTCTGAGGATGCAGACGCAAATCAATCAGCAAGTGATCGACAATAATAATGGTGTAGGTTCTATTGAAAGGTGTAGTTTCTATTGGAAGATCATTTTGTGTGTTTTGATTTGTGTTGTTGCTATGTTTATCAACAACCTATTTCAAAGTAGTGAATCAAGTATTGATCTAGTTGAATTGGCATAATAAAGAATTATGTTTTGCTTTGTCATAGTAAGGTACCCTATGTTTAGATTTTGAGGTAATAAGGAATTTTGTTTTTCTTGTAATGCTTTGTATTTATGTCTTTATTGATGTCAATGAAGATTCCAACGGATGATTGTGCAATTGTAAATTAGTTATTCATGCAAACAAGAAAATAGTAGAATGCTTTAATACATCATTTAATCACAACCCAAAAACAAAAGGCATAGAGAAAATATTGTCATAGAATGTCATTGACAACCCAAAACGAAAACAGAAGTCGTTTGATACAATACATCAACATTCAACATAAAAAACTAAAAGGATAGAGAAAATATTGTCAGCCACAACGCCCAAAACAAAAACAAAATTTGTTTGGTAATAATACATCAATATTCTACATAAAAAACAAAAAGCTTAAAATAATGCTGCTGTACTACATTTTCCATGGCTCCTTGGATTGACTTGGATTGTTTGAACTACTTCCTTTTGGGTTTTTTCTTTGTTGCTCACTCATTTCTTGAAGTTTTCTTGTTGATATTGCTGATTTCCCTTTCCATTTAAGCTTGCTTGCAGTACTTGGTTTGAAACCAATATCACCAGTTATGTCAGCTGATCTTGTCACTTTGGTTGCACCAGTAGAGTATCTTTAAGCTTGGCATGCCAGGCTGCACCCAATTTATGAAAAATAATTAGTAGCAAAAACTTAATTTATGAAGATGATTGATATAATTAGTAGCAAATACTCACATTAAATGCTTTGAATCCATTTTCAGCTTGAAACACGCTCATCCCATGATTGATGATCTTTTGTATTACATTTCCCCTGCCCCTTTCTCTTTTACTAGTAGTTGGCAATGAAGTAGGTGGTGTTGGATGTTCAAGATATGCAAGATGTACATGAGGTGTTTTTCTTGGTCTTCTTTTAGTAGTAGTTGGTGTTGGATGTTCAAGATATGCAGGATGTGCATGAGGTGTTTTTATTGGTCTTCCTCTTTTACTAGTAGTAGGCAAGAAAGTTGCAGTAGGTGGAGGAGGAGCACTATGTGTTGGATATGTAAGAGGTGTTGAAGGTGCAGTAGGTGTTTTTCTTGGTCTTCCTCTTCCCCTTTTTACTGGAGGCTCACCTTCTATTGATGGATTCTAAATATACAAAGAAGAAGTTAGAAAATGATTATAGTTAATATCAATACAAGTAAAAATATTACCTTTGGTCTGCCTCTTCCCCTGCCTGAACATGATGTTTTGCCTCTTTCCCTACCTGAACTTGATGTGCTGCCTCTTCCATTACCTGAACCTGATGGTTCCTCCCTTGCTGATGATTGAACATTTTGTAGACAACCTCTCTTGTTATGACCTCTACCATTACAATTACTGCAGGTCATGGCAAGTCCAGTTCTAGGCAACTTTCTTGGTTTCTTTGTTTCTCCAGCTTCTTTCCTTCTAAGCTTACTTGGCCTTCCAGGTATGCTTTTAGTTTCAGGTGGTGCAACTGTTGGATTAGTAGATATAGGACATATTTCCATGTTTGTGATTGGTTGAAGAACATTAGCATAGGTTCTCAAGTAAGTTTCCTTACTGTAGCAACTATCAATATAGTCAACAAGATCACATTTCTTGAAGTATATTACAATATGTGCACATGGTATGCCCTTTAATTGCCATACTCTACAGCTACAAGTTCTTCTGCCAAGATCCACAGTGTGTTGACATAGTCCCTCTCTTACTTCAAACCCAGCAACTTCATTAAATTCAATATTACAATTCATTGACCTGTCAATATTTTCTTGTAGTACCTTCAAAGCCATTGGAGAGAAATTGCACTTCCAAGTATTGGTAAACTCCCTTAAATTACCTATTCTTGTCATCATCTTCACTCTAATCTCTTCAAGCAAGTAATAATTGTCTTATGCCTTGCTATCAATATCCATGCATTAAAACACTAAGACATGTTATTATCTACAGAATCACATTTTACTCTAGTATTGAAGTAAACCTTACACCAGTACTCTATGTTGTAGTACATTAAGGCATCTATCATTTCTTTTGGACCAAGACACATCATCTTCTCCACATTGTTTCTTAATTAAGACAAAAATACCTTTGATAATCCTACAAAATTGTTGTCTTCTTTGGAGGCCTCTCCAGTCCTTAGCACAGTTAGCTAAGATGTGTCTAGCACACATTCTATGTTCTGCAGCAGGCAATAAATCTTCAATGGCCGCAGACAATCCCTATAAATATATGTAGTTATGTTATAATAACATATACAATATTAAAACTAATAAATACAAATAAAAAAATTAAAAGTACACATACATTTTGCATATCTGTAATCGAGGTGAAATCTGCACCATCTCTTAGTCCCAGATCAGTCTTTAATAGCTTGACAAACCATGTCCATGTATTTTTGTTCTCATACTTAACCACTGCCCAAGATAGTGGCAACATCTGGCTATTACCATCCTTGACAACAATAACTAACAACTGCCCTTTGCAAACACCTTTAAGGAAACAACCATTTAAACTTATGCATTTTGTACAATTCAAGAATGCCTTCTTCAATGAATCAAAATAGATATAAAAGCTTTTAAATACAGGCCTACCAAGTGCATATGGTTTATCCAATTTAACAACACAAGTGGTTCCTGGATTGGTCCTTAATAGTTCATCCTTGTAGTCAAGAATTCTTCCAAATTCAACAATATGATCACCCATAATATCTTTCAACACCTTAGCTCTTGCTTTCCTAACAGTAGTCTTGCCAACATGAACTTTAAGCTTTTTTCTAATCAGGATAGCAAATTCAAAACTCTTTGTCTAAAGACTGTAGATATGTACTTTGCATTACACAAATAATTTCTGGTTGTTGAATTACAAGTATGCTTTAGATTGTAAGTCTTAATCATGAAATCATTTGTTGTGTTGTCAAGACATGCATACAAAAGCCATGGACAACTATCAATGCACCTAACTCTAACTCTTTTTGGCTCATTCACCCACTTATTTACCTGAACTTTTCTTTAGACAACATATTTAGTTGCTGCTCTTCTAAATTCATTCACATCTGAAAAGACCATACCCAACTGCCATACAACTTTCTTAGCAGTAGGGTCATGAATAATTTTATTTTATTTTGTGTTTTTCCTTCTTGATATATTTACCCTTCTAGGTAAATTAACCCAACCAGAATCAGAACTGGTTGCATCAGAATTGTGTTCATCTTCATCACAACACTCATCTTCATCTATTTCAAAATTGTTAGCATCAGAACTTGGATAGTATGGCTCATCACCTCCTAACCTTCCTTCAACACTTATTTTTCCTGTTTCAGTTTCATCAAAACCTAAATCTGGTCCAGCTTCACCTACTGGTACCTCTTCAGTGTCAGCTTGTACTCTCTCATTTCTTTTTCTTCTTTGAAAAGTCCTCTTTTCAACCCTCAAATCCCTAACCTCCTCATGCATATCACTATCATAATCCTCATCATCATCTCCAATTAATTCACCTTCAGTATCAACACTCTCTTCAGTTGAGTAATCAGAACCATCTTCTTCCATTAAATCAGATCCAACTAAACCTACATCTATATCATTAATATCTACAGTGTTGGATCTACACTAACAAGATCTGCAATAGCTGGATCTGGATCTAGATCTGTACTAGCAGGATCTGTAGTAGCAGAATTTGTAGTGGATGGATTTGTAGTATTGATTGGAGTTGAGGTGGAAGATGTTCTAGCAACAGTAGCAGCTGTAGTTTGAGGTGTTGTAGTAAAAGGGTCCTCACCAGATAAAGTTTCATCACCAACCACAATGTTTGGACCACAATTTGATTTAGCCCCTTTATTGAAAGTTGAACCAGATTCCTCTCTATCCTCATGGCTAATATTTTCTAATAAAATAAGGTCGGGGTCCACAACTGCTTCATCAATCATGTGTTTCACATACATCTCCACAATATCTCCATCTTTCAAAGAACAACATAGGTCTGAAATATCCAGATCATTGTCTATATCTTCCAAAATGCCACTGTCAGTGGGGTTAATAATAAATGTGCAAGTTGTGGTGAATCCCAATTCTTTAATGTAGCCTCTTAATTCAAAATAGGATATCTTATCCACATCAACATCTAAAAATTATGTAACTTGCCCACCCGTATATATTGGTTGTCCACTATGATACCATCTTAAGGTAACCAAGGTGAACCCACTCATCTCCTACCTGAATGGAATGAAAGAACAGAGAATATTTAAACTACACATTGTACATTAAACACACACAATAGGTAAATATGAACATATCATCATTATAACAACGAAAATTGTAAACTTACTATGTCATAGTATCATATCATTACGAACATATATAACATTAAACGAGAAAGGAAACACTACATGGCTAACAATATGAAGATAATATTGTATAAATTGAACAATGGAATGTTATTTTACCAAAATCCAGTTATTGCTCTTCATTTTTTTGTCAATTTCATAATCCTAATCAAACACAATAATCAATATCGTTCAAAATCGCTAGTAAAGAACTAACCTTAGAGAAAACTTTGACCCAACAAACGAAAAAATCTAAACGAACCTTCCCAACCTTCCCAACAAACTTCGATTAGAACGAAATCTCAAATCGAAGAGAATGGGGGTGAATTTGGTCAGATCAAAAAAAGGTTAGGGTTTAGAGAACGAAAAAGGAAAAATGAAAAGATTAAGGGAAATTCGTGGGTTCTGGGGTCCAGTCATTATGTGGCAGCGCGTGTAAACAAACATTTAATTATATCTGGTTTATTTGGACATGTTAGTAAATAAGGGTGAGAAAATTAGTAAAAAAAATGTTAGGGGGGTAATAGGACCCCCGTTAAGTATAAGTGTGTAGTTGGAAATTTGGCTATAGGTTAGGGGGGTTTTGGCCATTTTCTCCATAAATAAATGTATGTGCTTACACAATAAAATTACATTAAGCCAATGACCTTCAACGAGTTAAACTATATTAATGAAAGATACCAATATATGTTGTACTGGAATTGTTGAGATATCTCCCTCCTTTCTAAAGATATCAAGAATACAAATTCTTCCAACTTTGAAAGTACCGGAAAGTACCGATAGATACTATCATATAAAAAGAAGAGGTGGTCTGACTAACTCAATGAAGTGAATTTTTCAAAAACATGCTCAGAAAAATGGAGTTTTTGAAAAGAAAAAGAAATCCATTTTATCATTTAGACGAAAAAATTATTATGATTCTTAAGAACTCAACAGGCCCTTCCCCTTCAAATCAAACAAACAAAGAAGGAAAAAATATTGAGACTGTCATCCTAAAAAATAAACCTTTTAATGTGTGATTCAAATTTAATTAAATTTCAATGTGGATATCAAACGTAGAACAAGAAAAGAAAACTTTACTTAAAGATAAAAATGTGTGAAATTTTTTATTGTTGTTTTGAAATATAAGATATATGCGCATGGAGTGGTGCCAACTTCTTGGTGATTATAAAATATGGTGTAACATGTTTAATTATCCGAGATTGTCGTGCTTAATCCAACATGATTAACGTAAAAGCCAAAAAGGATAAAAAGATTCTTCAAGAAATCACAAATTAAATTAAACAACCAACATAAAACATTTGTTAATGGGTTTAAAGTTAAAAATATACACATGTCACCTCTCTACCACTCAAAAGTATCCATGCAATTTATACTATAATGTTGTTTTAATTTTCTTCTTATTACCTAAACCAATCTCTCTTTTAGTTTTATCTGCTGAGTCGAGGATCAATCGAATATACTCTTTATTTTTAAGATAAGAATAGTGTTATTTTATAACTATATTAAATATATTATTATTATCGTTTTATCTGAAATTTGTCGTTTGTATCCAAATTCTCTTAACTTTACCAAATCCTTTTACAGGCTGCGACTTTTAAGACAAACACCAAAACAAAATAGGGAAAAAAACAACAATAAAAAGGCATGCACACGAACAATTGACAGTTCAAAGTCCATAATTTCACCCACAAAAAAAAATCTGTATAAATACAACTAAATCTTATCCGAAACATATTTTATTTCTTTAATTTTAATAGAGAGTAAAAAAGAATCACATGGTCACAATAAGAGTATAATTCCCTTCTTCCAATTTGCTATACTGCCAAAGAAAAAACAAAGTTCCTATCAAGAAGATTCTAGAGAAAAATTTACATAATACATAATATTTTCGAATAAAATTGAGCCATTTTTTGAAACAAGAGATTTTCAAATAAAGTTGAATAACGTTGTATATAAATTTTTTATCCTAAGTTCCTAACCTAATGTTTTAAAATTTTGAAGTACTAATTTGTGTACCTAATTTAGCGAACCAAAATTTGAAGACTTTGAGTACATCAGATACGGTCTCTAAGCTAAATTTAAAATAAATATAATGAAGCGCTAGCTGGATTCAAACCATAGTCTCGTGGTTGGTTCGTCTGCAGTGCCTTGTACCAGCAGCACAAGAACAATCTTATGCCCCTTATGGATTCACTATTAATTATATCCTAATTTCTGTTAGTTTCTCAAGATAAATATACATATATATACATGAGTTTTTCTGAAGTTAACGGACGCACGTGCACCCGATGGGTTCGCCTCTGAACACACTCTCCCTCTCGATATATTCTATACATCCACCACTCTCTCTATGTTTCTTGAGATGTTAGACGATTTTTTTGTTTGTACATCAATTAATAAGAATAATGTGATAAAATATTACTCATAATATTCTATTTTATGTGATTTTTTTTTTAATCTCTTAAAAAAATGTCATCTTACTATATTTAGAAATAATTTAACTTATAAATTCCCCTTCACTGTAAATGAAATGACAGTCAACCACATAAATATTTAAAATTGGTTTTAAACCACAAGTTTTGAAAAAAAGTCTTTTTTTTAACAGCATGCAAGTTAAAAATATCACATAAAATAAGACAGAAAGTAATTATTTATTAAGATACCTATAAAATAATGACAATTAAAAATAAACGGAATGAATAAGATAACAAAGTTTAAGTACAAAATATAGCCGTGATTAGATCACGGAACCGCAAAATACGGCTAATCTAGTCAACATAACGCCCACGGTTTTTTACTTATTTCTCACTGTAATTTTCCATTTAAAAATACAACTGGGCCGTATAATAACGGGCCCATGTGGGTCCATAAGAGGCCCGTGATAACTGTTCACTATACAACTAAGCTTCTACGAACCTAGACGTTCCAACTCAAAAGGCAAAAATAATATTCTAACAAATATCATATTCAAAAAAATTGCTTATTGGTCCATTTGAAATAAACCGAGACGGAATCAAGGTGATAGAAGGGGTTCATCTAAAGCGCAATCGTTAAAATAATACATTGTATAGAAAACGTTTAATATGATATTTATGTCTATATATATACATTGTTAACCGAACACTTTCGACTCGATTTGAGAATCTATTTTGAGTCTGTTTGATGAAAATTCTAACTTCGATATCGTGGATGAGATGGGTCCCACCTTACAAGAGAGCAAATGGGAGGTTGATGAGTTCCAAGAAGGGTGCCATGTCAGCTTCTGGAGTTTACGTGAGATAACGGTATTCTTGAAAAGTGGACTCTTTGTTGCCATGTCATCAATCTGGATTTTTTTTATATCCAGCAATTAAATAGCTGCTTGGCTTTTTATTTGGATCCCACGTTATTTTTAATTTGTTTATTTGAATCCCACATATATTTCACTTTTTTGTTCTACTAGGCAAGCAACACTAAAATATTAGAAGTAGACTGCAGGACGAACGTTCGATATTCGATTCAATATTTTAAAATTTTGATTTCGATTATTGAGTATTGAACATTTAAATTCGATTAGATAAATTAAATTTTGGTACAATAATTTAGTAATTGTGTATCGAATAAAAATATATTTTAACAAAATATTTTTAGTAATTACCAACATTTAACATGTTAGTTATTAGAGAAATCACTTAGATCTTCACTCTCAAACTCTAACATTATGGATTGAATTTGTCGGCACACATATAAATCATAATTACTTAGCAAGGGGGTTGTTTGATATTCTGTTCGGTATTTTTAAAGTTTAGTTTCAATAATTCGATAATTATAAGTAGATATTAAAAATCGAACTTTTAAAGTTTGATATGATATTATTGTAATCAAACTTAGATATGAAAAGTGATTTGGTAATCCCTAGCTTAAATTTACCAAACTTATTAAATGTAGTTTTTGGTCGCAATCTTATCAAGAACAATATTATCTACAAACATAAAATAAATAAATAAAAAGTGTAATCTATGAAGAGAAAATTGAATCAATATTCATTCACTTAAACCAGAGATCCCAAAATGATTTACACACAAATTGGCATTACCCTTCAAAATCTTAACATATATTCCCAAATCCATTTTAATATATTTGCCTATACCCCTCAATAATTCATAAAAGTGTGGTATTTATGTCTCAAACAAAAACATTTTTTTAAAATTTTAGTCACAATTTGATTTATTGGAAAGGATTAATTAATCTATAAATGAATATGTGCATGTTGGGAGTAAATGTATTTTAAATTTAGAAAATATTAATGTTGTTAGTTTGGAGGAATATTTGCACAAAACATTGAACATTGTTGGATAAATAAATATAAAATTGTTGGATAAATGAAGAGTGATACTTTAAATAAAATAAAATTAGAGCAAGTGGGGGCATTTATGCAGTTAAAGACTTTTTGGGGGGATGAATTTGTAC